CTGTAATGTTTTCCAAACCTCATTCCAAAGGATAGGCAAATCATTTTGGACGAGAAGGAAAGGCACAGGCAAGGATATGGAAATCATTGAATGAATACTGGGCAGTAGAAGAAGATTATCCAGACACACTTTGAAAAGTAGGGGAATCTTCTATGATAGTAGTTCCTATGATATTGTTCTGCACGATGTATCCACCTTGCATTCTGCCAGTTCCTGGCTGACAGTATAGCCTTTCAGGAAGAACAGTCGTCAGCCAGTTTTAAGGTGAATTTTTAAACTTTTAAAAATTTATTTTAATTACCAAAAAGAATCAGACAGGTTCCTGACCAGACCTAGCACTGGAAAATGCCTATGATTTAAAGCTACTTTTGCATCTTCCTAGCCTGTCTGAAAATAAGTCATAAACCATGACGGTAAGGGACAGCAACTTGACATCTACTAATGAACTTCTGTTTTCCTGACGTAAATCTCAAAAAGCCATTGAGAAAGTAATAGTTCTCAAGCTGATAGCATTTATGAATGTAGTGACTCCTTGACTGCACAGCCTGTGCTTTACCTCATTTATAATGACCTTGGTGGACTGCATGTTGAGAAGCAGTAATGTATATTTCAAGATGCCTCCTACTAGCAAGTCTAATTATTGCAGGGCAGAAACATCAAAAGTCAGAAGCCTTCAACGTTTTTACATTGTTTTTAGGAGGCACATTTGCTTCTAGATTCCTTTTCTCAGGACAGGAGGCACATTTGCTTCTCGATTCCTTTTCTCAGGACAGTGTGTTTCCCTAGGAAAGCATACTCTGCCTTCTTTCATCAAAGATTGATCCATGTACCCCAGAATATGTACCAGGAGACGGAAGCTGAGACCCATATACTGCCATGACATTTCAATCACAGGCTTTTTACAGCCCAAGAACAGATAGCGTTTATGAGCCCACTCTAGTCAATATTCAGATCTTTGCCAAGGTAAGCAAGTAATATGAGATATTTCTGTCACAGATTTTTGCAGTGGCCTTGATTTGAATTCAAGCCAGAACTCAGGATGACACCTCCTGCATTTACAAACTATTCCTCTGTTTCTTCTTGTTAGCCTAAAAAAGTGCTGCAGGATGGAAACTGACACCTGCAATAGCATTCACTCCATATGCCTAATTTTTACACTAGAGATTTATATGTGAGGTTAACAACACAGTTATCCTGTTGAAGGGTATTGCTGGGTTTCTTAATTAAAACTGATGAGCTTAGATGGGCAAGTAAAGGTCATTCTTTGAGGCTTTAGTTCTTTTGTTGAGGAAAACTTTAACATACAAATAGGTGAGAGACATGACACTTTGTATTTAGCAAGAGACCCCTTTCATGAAAATGCACATCCGACTGGCTGTGTAAGTATTAATTCACAAAATGCATTTGCTTTACATAGCTGCGGACAGCCTCTGTGGCTGAACTGACAAGTTAGTCTGAAAGACAGAAGTACAAAACAAAAAGCCTGTAAAGTTTATTCCAAGGCATTGAAGTGCATTAAGATATATATTTAAATACAGATTTCTACTGAGTTGCAAAGCATGAGGATCAAGTTGAAGATACTGGGACAGATGAAGACAGAATGGTTGTCAGTATTTTCACATCTTAAAATTCACATTGTAGGTTGGGATCCTCCAGAAAGGACTTTGGCAAAACAAAGCAGCATGCAAGAAATTAGGTTGGAGACATCAAGACAACATCTGAATGAATAAACAATGATGACTAGACTGTTTCTGAAGAAAAGCAGAGACTACATGCCAAATCAGTGTATGGTCTCTGAAATGAGAAAGTACAAGAACTAGCAAGGGAATACATCAAGAGCTATTGCCAGATTAATGGAAACTCAAATAGGAAGAAGTCATGGATGAATAAGCAAGGAATCAAGACAGAAGTCTGATTTTGAATAATTGATTTGTTCTGTGAGAGGCTAAGTCAAAATTTTCCTAGTAAATCAAATACTGATCCAGAGTGGAATTCAAAGAGGGAAAGGAACTAAGAAGGATGTACTGAAGAATTGAAAGAATTGCCAGGGAAATCTAAGGAAATAACAGAACTAATGAGTAGAACTCGCTCTGCTTTCAGTTACAGGTGCGCAATTCCTAGCAAACCTGTAGTTCTTGGGGACGTAAGGCTGAGATTGCCAGAGCATGGCAATACACAACTTGTGCTGGTAAAAGATCAGCACGAGGAAATTTTGGGCCTCAAAAAACATCATCTGAGGCACAACCTCTTCCACTGCTTCCCATGAAGAAGGACAAGAATTTGTATCTAACCTCTACTAGCACCAGGCTAAAAAGCTCACGCTCCTAACAGGATGTTGGATATTCCCTGCCTCTTCATTCCTACCTGCTTTGGTTATTTGTGTATGTGTACCAGAAACTGCATACAACAGGTTTGACTTCAGTGGTTAGAGAATCTCTTCACCCTGCTTAGACCCCAAAAAGTTCCACATTCCTGCCACTTCTCAAAGCTATCTGCAACTTAGAAACAGATGCTATAAAACATCTATCATGATCCCAGGAGATCTATATCTAGTGTCCTAGTGCATGTTACAAGAAAATCTTAACAGAGCTAGATCATTGATTTCCACAGAAAGCATCAGAAGGTTTAGAGGAATTTTTCAAAATGGGAACAGATAAATGTCAGGATAATTACCATAGATCACACATTTCAAGGACTTGGCTAAACTTTAAAGATAATGTTAGGGTAATTTGTCTGCCATTGTCAAAACCTTACAATGAATTCCCATATGAAGACACCAAAAGCGTCTTCATTCACCTTTTTAATAATCTTGTGTATTGATGCTATACTGTAGCAATGCAGAAAGGCTGTAGTCAGATTTGCTGCAGTCTGTTTTTGATTTAGTTTCCGTAATGATAAACTTATCTTTTCTTGTTTTGGGTCTCATTTCATGTCTTTTATAGTCTGATATCTGACCACTTGACAAGGATTACGAGAGATTGCAAGAGATTACAAGAGACTAAATCTATAATCTGAATCTGTGTTAATTTGTGCATATAATAATAATGCTTTGAACCTGTAATAATCTGAATAAAATTCCAGTTATTATAAATGAATTAAATTATATATGGTTCTGCTCTTGCGTATTATGCTAGATCAATATACAGAATACAACCTACTCTTCTGGAATTTAACCAGTGAACTTTGGCTGGTGGATTCCTTTTCCATTTCAGAATTACTAAAAAGAACCTTTTACATCTCAAAGTCAAAGGCTGTACACACATTTTAGCTTTATTCATCCACAATAGTTGCGTTAATTACGGAGGTAACTTTGTAGATTTGAAAAGCATTGAATTTCAGTAACTCAAAAATTAATTTCATTTTTTGGGACCTAAGCACAGTAATGCCATTATTGAGGGCTAGCTTGGTCAAATAAGTTTATTTACTTTCATTTGAACAACAGAGTGGACCAGCCTGGAACACCATGGCGTTGAATTTGTTCATTTGTTCATGACAGATGATTCATGACAGAAAGCAGGTAAGTTAATAAATTTATCATTTTATAATGAAGAGATACTTAAGAAAATCCAGAAAACAACATCAAAGTTAGCCAAGCAAGGGATAAAGCATTTTGTGCTCATATTAACTACATTACAAAGAAAAGTTAATTTTAAAAAATTTTTGGTGGAGGGAAACTGATAGTTCAAAGCGGTTTTCAGAGTAGAGAAATGCTGACCATGCTGTGGCAGATTGCTGTATTTTTCTTCTATCCATAGCAAAGGACAGGCTGGGAGGCAGCTTCAAAATTTATTTTGACTTTTGACTATGCTTCAACAAATGATATTGGTCACTGTATATATTTATTTTGATCATCTAAAAAGGAATCTACACAGTTGTGCAAACAAGACCACCCAGTATGTCCATTAAACATTATCCATTTTCATAACATTTTCCTACAGTATTCAAACTACATAAAAAGTCAAATGCTTCCTGAATTGAAATTTGCAGCTGTGTGTTTTATGGTTGGTTCCAAAATGAAGTAAATTACAAGGCAGGCTATCTTACCATCACTTTAATGAAAGCTGTAATGACTGACTCTCCATGTTAAAATCTCTTGTTTTTTAAAATTTATTCAAATGAAATTTTCTGGGGATATCAAATTGCTATGTATAATGCAAAATAATTCAAAGCTTTACAGAGTAAAGGAGTTTCGGAGACTATTAGGGTGCAGTTTCATAGTCGGCTTCACCATTTTAAGGGGCTATCTAATTTCTTCCCTTCCTCCAGCTGTGACCTCCCTCCTGCTTCTCTGAGCAAACATTAGTATTCATGCAGTTCCACAATGAACCTTCAGACTGAAAATGTCTCTCCAAAAATTAAATTTCAGTAGTGAAATGACTGGACATGTAGTTATACGGAACTAAGATTAAGAGGAAGGATGGGGTGGTCCCTGCTGGTAACAGTGCAGTCTTAGATTGGCTTGTCTTCTGAGACAATTTTGGGACAATTTTGGGACAGGCTTTCTATGCTAGTTGCTTTAGAGAGGTGGACTTGTGATTCACAGGTCTGTGGTGGCCACATCATGTGGTCGTCTTTGGACCTGAGTGTGAGGGAGCAATTTAGAAGGATTTCTAGACTTTTTGGAAGGCAGGAACTTGAAAATCTTGGTATTTCTTAGGGCTTCCAGACTAATTCTGTGCATCAAGTGCCATTCAAATCTGGATTCTGGAGACTTCTCGACTATCAGTCATGGAACAGGAAAATTTCAGCTGGAAATCCTATATGAATCTTCACTTTTAAAATATAGTACATGAAAAGCCTCTATTAACTCTGATTTTTGAAAATGTCTTCCTTTGAAAAAAAATGTTTAGGTTTCTATTTTCTGATGAAAAACATAACTACTCTCTTCCTATTTCAGATTATTACACTCTAGAAACATGGGTTGCAGCTGCCTCCAGCTTGTTATGTGTTAAGCTGTGGAATCTGAGGACTTCCACAGTCCAGGATAAACAACTTCTTCTATCTCAGCCCTTTTTGTAAAAAAGCTATTGTTTTAGGAGATGTTGTTCATGGAATAATTTGTGCAGTCGGTTAATTAAAATTCCAGGCAACTGCATTTTCACATATAATGTAGGACATATTCTTGAAAATAGAGGTTATAATGTCATTTGAAGATCAGAGTCTGATACTAATGTGTATTCATATATGACAACTTCCCTGCTCTGCCGTATCAACACATATGGTACTTAACAATGTATTTTTATACCTGTTGATGAAATACCTACATAATTTAATCCCTTTCAAAAATTTATTTTTTTGGTATCTCTGCCAAAAGCATAAGCCTAGAGTCATGGTAATTTTTCTAAGAGGGTTATTTCTCCACGAAAAGCCATGAAGACTGCCTTGGGAAACTGTCACATAGTCTTGCTTCCAGAGCTGTATATGACAAAGCAAAAAGCTTTAATGTCACTATTAACAACTGTGCTATCACTCAGCCTTACCACCTCCTGACATCCTGTGACTCCCTCTTTCTAAATTCCTTTTATCTTCTTCTCACTGTCTTCAGGTGTCTATCACTACAATAGCATTACTGCACTCCAAAAAAAGAATGTAGACTGACTGTCGTGTTTCTTTGACTAATCTTTCATTTGTTTTTACCTTTCAAATTTAAATCATCCAAATGTAATGTTTTTCAAATCTCCTGTGTCTAAAACTTTAGGGATGTTCAAAACCCATGTGTGGACCATCAGGAAAAATAATGATGCCTGCTAGAGTGGATTCTGTCAAGATGAAGCATCAACAAAAGTGAGTCAACATTTAGATTTGCCAAAATAATATTTAGTTGATTGTAATGTAGATTATATGAGTATAATTTCACATGCAAAGAGCAATGCGTCAAGTTACAAAAGAGTCTGAAAAATAATGAGACCTGGCCTCAACACGTATCCTTCAGTCTGCGGATATTAATATTTATCTTCAATAATTCATGGCCCATGTGCATTTTTGCTGGATCCCAATATTTTCTGACGCTGTCTCTCTCCCTGATGGGGCAGGGGTGAACAGAACAGAAACTCACGTGTGGAGGACCGCTGATTTTCGTAACCTGGTAGACACGAGCTATTGCTGCAGAAGAGAATCTGTGAGGAGCTAGCGCTTCAGGAAGAACCCATTCTGAGCACAACATTTAGACAGCTCAGTATGTAATTCTGGTAATACTGCAGGGTTTTTTAATGCTAGTTTCCACAATGATTTATCAGAGCTAAAAGATTATACATAGTTAGGGGTAGAGTACAACTATTTTTCTTCAGAGTTACATCCTTAATAATGTTTTTGCACGATACGTTCTTGTCTTTTGCAAGCCAAGCTGTTTTGGCGCTGGAAATGCATTTTGCCAGGGCGCAATGAGGGCCTAGCAAGGGAGCCGGGCAGGTCGGGGGGCAGCCCCAGACCAGCAGGGCATTAGGCAGGCAGTCAGCCTGCGGGTCGGGGTCTGGGTGGGGATCAGCGGGCCCACGGCCAGGCACAGGCTGCAGGGCAGCTGAGCAGCTGTACCTTGGGCTGGACCAAAGCCCAAACCTCAGCCCAAAGCAGCTCCGAGCGGCAGGGGCTGGTGCAGCGCTGCTGTCCCGGAGCTCTCCCCCACGGCCAACAGAGGGAAGGGGCAGCCCTCAGCTGTGCTGTCCTAAAACTGACCCTGAGCCAAGCCCCCAGGAAGGGGGAGGACGTGCTCAGAGCCCCCACACAGGTCACCAGAAAATTTTCTCTTTTATTCATAGCCAGTTGGTGAGCGTTATGGTTCAGGAATTAATATTCCAGGATCAAGGTTACTTTCCTTTCTCTTGTCCTCCTCCAAAGTCCCTCCTCACGCCCCCTGGACCATACTGGACTACTCCACAGTAGTGCAGACTCTACATGCCTGTGCTGTGAATACAAAAGAATCCAAGCTGCTACGTTAAAAAATCATATTATTTTTAAGCCAGTGGCATTGTTTTGAGAGGCTGTGGGACAGTGTAGTAACTTTTAGTATTACTCTTGTGAAAAATAGATATGACTAATTTTACCTTTTCATCTTTGCATTGTCAGTTGCTGCACTGGCTCATTTTACCCATTTACTTTGGTGCTGTCAGGACTAAGGGAAAATTTCTATTTCAGAAAAGCAGAATTGAAGGGAATTAGGTAATCTCTAGCCATTGCCAGGTTGGAAGGAAGGGCTTTTCAAGGACCATCAGCACATGAATAGAATTACCTCAGATGCACTGGTGGAAGACCAGTGACCAGATATTAATTTTTAGCCTTTGTCAGCCAAGGAAAACAGAACCTCAAAAGCAGCATGATTGCAACTCAAAACGAAGGAATAATATGTCAGGAAACTAGGTTACAAACTTCTTGGACATGCAGAGGGGGAGTTGAAATTCTTGGAGAAGAGGACAAGGAGGGAGGCAGTGTTAGAAAGAGAGATAGGTTTTTACCTTTTATTTTTCCTTCTAATTTAAGGATCCTAAAATAACATATTCCAAATGAGTAATAAATGCCTGGAAAAGTCTGCCTAGCGTCATTGCATGTTTGTGCTGCATTGATTTCAAAAGAGAGAGCTTCTAAATAGACGTTTATGTTCTTTTGAAGCAATCTGGAGGTCCTGGTGAGAAGCAGGGCTGTGGTTTTAGCAGTCAGTTATGAGAAACAGTGATTGCCTAAGGTCTAAAACTGCAATGGTGCCCTTACCAGAGGAGTGATTAGCTGATGCCAAAAAACACATGCTTTAAAAAAGAATTTTAGCCCTTTTTTAAAATCCTGTCTCCTTTTACTGTACAAAGGTGTTCTTAGATTAGGTAGCGTCCAGCTTTTGAAAAGAGATTCTCAAATCATTTAAGTGACTTACCTACATCTCTATTCTTTAGCTTACCACTGACCTTTAACTTGTGAACTAACCTACTTGTACACTAGCTAATAATGCCTGACATCTGTCATGCATTATGAATTTAAATAACTGTTAAAATCTGTGCTACAGCGGAGGTCTGTAGGCTTGACTGCATACTCTCTTAAAAGGTTGTAAGTAAGTCAGCTTGAAATACATCTTCCAAATGCAATGTGACTCTGAGTGCCAAATTCAGGGAATTGAGTAGCTTATGTCTTGTATCAGAAAGAGGTGATTAGAGTTTCATGATCTTATGGTTTGGATGACTTACATTTCACTGAATAAACCTAACGCATATTTTTAAATGTATTTCGTAATAGGAATATTTTTAAGCATTACTAACAAATGTTGTCAAACTAGCTTAAGGAAAGCATAGGAGAAATTACAACAAAATGACAAAATTAGAAATGACCAGAATATTTACTCAGCCCTTGAATCTTCATGAGCACTTAAGTGTTAAAGCATTCTAATTATCTTCTCTTGATTTGCCTTTATTTTATGTTCCTAAATAGAGTTATACTCATCCGTATCATAGAGCTGGGCACTTCATAAAGCAATTTAAACCATCACAAAATCTATACTAAAAAGAGACAGAATGACTTCCCCTCTGAAAATTGCTGCTCTCTCTTCACTGACTATACACTTGTAAATGGCCGGTTTACATTACACAACAACTTCTGAGATGACAAACTGAGGTGATATGAACACCACCGTGAATGTCATCGAAGTCTTCCAAAGTTTGGGATATGGATTTCATTTTCTACAAGACATAAATAATCCTTTAGATTAATGACTCAGATTTCTGGGTGAACATTCTGGGCTAGTTTTTTTCTGTAGGTGTCCAAATTCTCTGAAAGTCAACAGGATTTAGATGAAGAATGCTTTTCAGTTCTGCATCTTTGTACGTGAAATCAGTATAATCAGTCCTTCTTCCCATTTTTTTTCTGACCTTCCAAAGCACATGTAAACTTCCTGGACCAGGATTGTTCCTTATTATTGCTATGAACTGCACATAAAATAGCAACACTCTAATTCAATTTCTTTCTCTAGGAACTTTTTGTAATACAATTGATAAATAGTGCTAGCAATAAAATGTATTATGTATTTTCATGTTATATTTATTAGCTTAAATAAACTGCTGTATAATCTCCAATCTGCCACAGGGCAGACATGCAAAAACATGGATGAAGATTTAAGACCTATTTTAATGTGAACTTGCATAGCATAGAATGTAATAGGTATGTATAAAGATTATTCTATACAGTGGAAAAATATGCTACAGAAGAATTTTGGCTCCATAGAATTTCCTGTGCAATTGATCTTGTAAAATGGTATAAAAAGCCCATCATTTTCTGCTATATGTCATCTGACTTTGCAATGCAGATCATTAAAATGTGTGTGGGTTAGAGTAGGAGGGAACAAAAAAGTAGAAATATTTTAGTAGCTGTGAAAGCATTTTAGGTAGGTTGCTTTATTTACTGCTGTATTTGCTAGTGTATTTTCAAATGTAGCAAAGGTTAAGAATACTAGGGAGAAAATGCCTAAATAACCTCTCCCCTCCCTTCTTATTGAGTTCCAGGAACATGAAAAGAAAGAACTCTTCAGTGTATTTTTCTTTTTTTACTTCTTATTATTTGAAAAATCAAAGGCTTTTTTTAAAATCATAGCACCGTCTTAAGAACTCATTCATGGACCCAGATCTGAGGGGTCTCAGCAAGGAGTCAAGTTATGAATATATGCAAGAAGCTGTATTGTAAAAACGCTAACAGCCCTGAGCCAAGATGCACAGGACAAATATTGAAACTGTGCTTATTAGAATCTGTAACTTCTAACAGGGCATGGAAAAGGCATTTCCTAAGCTTACCCACTCTTGTAGCCACACTAGATATAAAGCAGCAGAGTAATGAGACTTGTTTGTGCTACTTTCTGTAGCCGTGACAGACAATGTTTTTATACCTCGCTGTTAATTAATCATAAGGCACCAGGGGCAGAGCTCATATAAAAAGAAGTAATAAGGATGTATTTTGGCTCTGTGGATTATATCCACATAGCTTAAAAATGCAAGGTGTTGTTTGTACCTTCCATACGTAGCTTCATGACACAATAGATGATGCTATTTCCTATTGGCGTTAGAACTCATTAGAGCAGCGTTTTCTCCTGTCTTCTCTCAGGGATTTGGACGTTGAAACATAGGGCTTTAGTTAAAGCTCTCAAGAAGATTCCCTCTTGTCTCCTTAGCTGCTTTTCATCTGTCACTTTCATCTCTCCATAGACCAAAGGGATTTTCGCTTTTGCGAAAGAGAGAACCCTGTTAGTTATTGTGTATTTCATTCTGATAGAGTGCCTGTGCATCATAGAAAAAAGATTCTTAGTACTTTCTGGATTACTAGATGACCAAAAGTCTCAGCCTTATCCTGTTGCAGCCCACTTCTATGTGATGTTTATCATCTCTTTGAGATCTCACATACTTCAGACAGCTCCTGGCCAGCCTGTGTCAGGATGTGGTCAATAAGAGATCACAAAAGTTGACAGGAGATAAGGTACTGAAATCCAGTACTGCTTATTTATTCAGGTTTTTCATGCTAGAGATTTGTACTGTCTTCTCTTCCTAGTTCAGTGTCAGTTTTGGCCAATGTTTTCAGTTGCATACAGCAAATTTGCTTTCCTTCCAGACTCAAGACCTGATGATTTGTAGCTATTGCACTGGTTCTACATTAATATGCTGTAGGATCTTCCAGACTGGCTTCCCTTAAGTCAATGGATTACTGCCAGCACATGTATTGCAAATTGATGCACCATATGGAAGTTGATTCACCATTTCAGCCAGTAGCATTTTGTTTGTATGCCTGGGTTTCCTTTGCTTTTCTTAGATTGTATAGTTCCTGCTCAT